GGACTGAAGAGGCCTTCATACCATGGCGTCTTCCGAAGGGCCCAAAGGGTCAGATCCCAGGATCCGGGACGCTCCCGGGGCTTCCCGGAGGGGAATGTGCCGGGATGGGGACTGAGACACCTGAGGGGTAGAGGGGACTCGGGTCCGTCCAGGGCTGCCTACAAGACCTGGCTTTAGACGTCTGGGACCTGGGATACCACTAGGACTACTACCCGCCGCCATCGAGTCCTTTCCGGCTCAGAGCGACCCCCATAGTTTCCAAGCCTGTAAGTCTTCACAGAAGTAGATTGCCTCTTCTTCCTGTGGAGCGACTGGTGGGTTTGAACTGCCAACCTTCTGGTTAGCAGCCAAATGCCTTACCCACTACGCCACCAGAGCTCCGGGACCCGGGTTAAAGGGAACAAAAGTGGGGATACCAGGTCCGAAGGCAATGGCCGAGATACGGTCGGTAGGTTAAGGGGCGGGGCCACAATACTGCAGCGGAGGGGTCCTCGCCCAAGGGCAAGGCCCGGCCAGGTTTGGGGGGCAGCCGGAGTTCTTCTCGGAAGGCTCGGGGCTGAGCGGGCAGTCGCGGCCAGTTTCCTCCGCCGCACCGCACTGTGGAAAGTGAAACCGAAAGTGGTGCGAGAAGGCGGGGGTCTCGAGAGGGTGGAGTCACAGGGGGCGGGGCCTCCACCGCCTCCGGCCCCGCCTCCGCAGTTCAGTTAAAAGGATGCTGCCTCGGCCCGGCGCGGAGTAGAGCGAGCTGCGGCCGTGGCAGCGGCACCGCTCCTCGCCCCGGAGCATGCGCGACAGCCGCCCCGGAGCCCCCCGCCGCTCCGCCCGCGGCGCCCCGCGCCCCGCCGCCAGGTGAGCCGGCCACTAGGCAAGGAAGAGGGAGAAGGGAGGAAAGGCAAAGGAGCACAGCCGGGCGGCGGGCCAACCGGCTGGCCGCGGTAACTGCTTGGTGGGGTCGCGATCACCTCGCCCCCAGTCCCCGCCGGCCCCACCCAGGCCGCTCTCCGCGCGCGGGGTACCCTCAGGGCGGCTTTTCTGCATTTTCCCAAATTCCCCGAACGAGGCGCCGATTCTCGTCCTGGCCAGCAGGCGGCGAGCCGAAGGCCAGGCGGCCAGAGTTGGGCAGGCTTTTCCCGGGTACGCCCCCTGCTGCGACCCAAACCCCGTAAGACCAGGAGCCTGGGCTCCGCCCTCGCTGAGCCACCATCCTCCTGGATGTGTTCCACGGACGGAAAGCCCATTCTCTTGATAAGCCCATTGAGGCTTAAGAGATCTGCGCAGACTTGGAAGCTACCACCAAGCTCCTTAGGATCTGTTCGGCCTAGAGCCCTACCTATCCCTTCTCAGGTGCCCCGCGGCCCCTCACCTGCCCAGCCACTCCGGCTCACTGCCTCTGTCTCCCCCATCAGCGCACCCCCGGACGCTATGGCCCACCCCTCCGGCAGGCCCCGCGTATAGGATGGTAGCACACAACCAGGTGGCAGCCGACAATGCAATCTCCACGGCAGCAGAGCCCCGACGGCGGCCAGAATCTTCCTCCCCCTCCTCGGCGCCCGTGGCCCCGGCTCGCCCGCGGCCCTGCCCTGCGGCTCCGGCCCCGGGCGACACGCACTTCCGCACATTCCGCTCCCACGCCGAGTACCGGCGCATCACGCGCACTAGCGCGCTCCTCGACGCCTGCGGCTTCTACTGGGGACCCCTGAGCGTGCATGGGGCGCACGAGCGGCTGCGCGCCGAACCCGTGGGCACCTTCCTGGTGCGTGACAGCCGCCAGCGGAACTGCTTCTTCGCCCTCAGCGTGAAGATGGCCTCGGGCCCTACGAGCATCCGCGTGCACTTCCAGGCCGGCCGTTTCCACCTGGACGGCAGCCGTGAGACCTTCGACTGCCTCTTCGAGCTGCTGGAGCACTACGTGGCGGCGCCGCGCCGCATGCTGGGGGCCCCGCTGCGCCAGCGCCGCGTGCGGCCGCTGCAGGAGCTGTGCCGCCAGCGCATCGTGGCAACCGTGGGCCGCGAGAATCTGGCGCGCATCCCCCTCAACCCCGTCCTCCGAGATTACCTGAGCTCCTTCCCCTTCCAGATCTGATCGGCCGCGCCCGCGGAGCAGGCAGCATTAACTGGGGCGTCGTTACTGTTTTCTATTATTATTATTTGTGTGGAACTGTGTGGGTGTCCTCCCCGCCTGGGCTGGAGGGAGTGGGTGTGGGGGCTCTCTGCTGGAGACGAGGCCACAGCCCCCTCCCCACCTGTTACGGGCCGCACCCCCTCCTGGTGCTCCCTCCCGGTCCCCCGTTGTTGTAGCAGCTTAACTTAACTGTCTGTGGGGCCAGAACCTGAACTCACACCTCCTACCTCTTCATGTTTACATATACTCAGTATCTTTGCACAAACCAGGGGTTGGGGGAGGGTCTCTGGCTTGATTTTTCTGCTGTGCAGAATCCTATTTTATATTTTTTACAACCAGTTTAGATAATAAACTTTATTATGAAAGTTTTTTTTTTTTTCCCCCTCAAAGAAAAATAAGTTTCTAGAGCCTGTGCTTTGGTCCCAGGTCGTTGTTGTTTCGTGGGAGAGGGGTCCTAAGACTGACTTGCTGGGCTGGGGGTGGTGTGCTACACATATTCTGTGGCTTTGATCTTCGATGGGGTCTACCCACAACCCTGGGGGAGAGGGACACTGGTCTCTTCTTGGTGTCTTGGAGTTGTGTGCTTGGTGAATTAGCTCACGCTGGGGCAGCTAGCGTGCCAGGCCTGTTCTCTGCGTTACATGTTTCAGTTTACTTGAACGGTAGGAACAACCCTGTGAAGCACAGGATCTTATCCCCATTTGACAGAAGAGAAAAGTGAGGCATGGGTAAATATGCCTGTGGACATTCATCCCTGGGTCAGAAGGCAGTCGGGCTCTTTTGGCTGTCCACCAAGAATCTGTCTGAAATGGGTGACAGAGGAAACTTCTGTCTATAGCCCCAGCAAATTTCCAGGAAGAGGGTGGGGACTTGAGTTTTTGGAAGGTGTGGCACATTCTGAAAGTGCAGTATCAAGGCAGACAGGCTTCAGATAGGATGGGGATGCGGGACTGCTCAGATGTCCTTTTCCCACCCTGTTCTGTCTTGTGTGCTTTTCGGTGAATGCAAAACTTATTAGAGTCAGAAAGAGGCTCTGTGGTGGCAGAGGGTGCTGCTGGCGGCTTTGGGCAATTCCCTTTTCCTCTCTGGGCTTTGCATCTACCACAAAAATGGGCTGGCTGGAGAAGGCGGTGCTTGGTGGAGGAGGTGATGTTTTCAGGGCCGGGGAAGGCTGCTCGCGGCATGGTGGAGCTGGCCTAGAGCACCAGAAAGTGCCTGGGGCACAGGTTTTCTGGTGGCCAGCCTGATAGATGGGCCTGTGCCGGGAACTTGCAGGCTGCCCTGAATTGAGTCATTTTCAGGTTTGGGGTTAAGCAGGCTGGCGGACACTTGGCACTTCATTTTTAGAAGTTAAGATGGCCCTCTGCAGCCTTGGACACGCTTATAATGGAGTGTCCTAATATTTAAAAACACCTTTCAGACTTGCAAGTGCAGCATGAAATTAACTTGATGGTAGATTGCTGGAGTGCCCAGGCTTGTCTTGGGGATTAAGTAGGCTCCAGGCCTCAAGGTTAAGGATGGCCAGAAGAGATTTAGGAGCTCAGAGAGCTGTGGCGATTTCATCCTTTAATAAGGCAGGGTGGGAGGGAAGCAGGTGATGTCTTGCCTCTGTGCCTCTGAGGAATTGGTGGTTTTTGCTTTTTTAAACCACCCCCTTGCCTTTGTTCTCTCCTGTTGTGGGTGAGTGAAATCTTGTCCTTGTTCTGACTTTCCCTGTCTCCTACCCCTTTGGGCAGTGCCCAGAGAAATGGAGAAATCCAGGAAGGCAATGCTTGGGAATCTGGTCTTAATAATAGTGACAATCAGCGATTGTGTGGTTTCACAGAGGGGACAGTGGAAACTCAGAGAGGCAAAGTGGAACCCATAGCAAGTGACAGAACCAGATTTTCAAACCCAGACATGACTGCTTCAGAGCCTGGGTACCACTAGGCAACACAGCGCCTATGAGGGCCCAAGAGCTAACATGATAGCACTTCCAAGCGCCCGAAACCCACTCCCGTGGAGTTGATTCCGACTCACCCCTAGACGACAGAGTAGAATTGCCCCATAGGGTTTCCGAGACTCATCTTTTTGGAAGCAGACTGCCTCATCTTTTTCCTGGGGAGTGGTTAGTGGGTTTGAACCAGTGACCTTTCAGTTAGCAGGCAAGCACTTAACCACTGCACCACCATCACTCTCTCCAAGCACCCTAGTTACCTGCATTAAAGCACTTACCCGTCACCCCTGACCCATGATTTAGGTCCTGTCAACAGCTCCATCTTTACAAACACAGAAATGTGGCCTCATCTAAAAAGATAGGAATTTGCCAGGGGGAGATGGCACAGCAGGTAGCTTACAGTATATATTATTGTTGTTATGTGCCATCGAGTCAGACCCAACTCATAGCGGCCCCTCCTTGGGTTTCTGAGGCAGTATCACTACGGAAGTAGATTGCCAGCCTTCCTTCTGAGGAGTGGCTGGTGGGTTTGAACCGCCAGCCTTCTGGTTAGCAGTCAAGTGCCTTAGCCACTATGCCACCAGAGCTCCCTACAGTATACATTAACATTTTCTTTCAACTAAAGAATGTTTAAAAGTTGTATTTTCATTCCACAAGTGCTAGATACACAAGCCCATTTTTATACAGCTAAGAGCCAGGCGCCTCTGGGCACATTCCCCAGAGCTGGCCCCTTCTCCCTTCGAGAGACAGGGCAATCGACTTGGGTACAGATTTACTGTCTCGGAAACCCAATGGGGGTTGCTATGAGTCAGAATCAACTAGACGGCAGTGGGTGGGTTGGTTTGGTTATACTGATGTACCCACAGTGACCTACAAGCCCCCAGGATGCACTCCAGATGCAGGGGGTGGGGTGGGGTTGGGGAGGCTGAAGTCTTGTGCACATACAACCCAGTGCAGGCACGCTGCAGAGGAAAGGGCTGGGCTGGGGGTGGCATGTGGCTTCCCGGTGTGGGGGGGTGCAGACTCTCTATCTCTCTCAAACCAAACCTCAGCTTCATGATTCAGCAGTGCTGACGTCAATTTACAAGAATGAAAAGTGAGAGGAGGGTTTGTGTGCATGAGGGCTGGGCTGGGGGCCCAGGTGGGGCTGGGACATCCCCATGCTCTGAGCAGGGCAGCTTGGGCAGTGAAGAATGAGGCCGAGGTCTGTGCGCTGACAGGCATCATAGCAGCCCCTGAGCTGGGGACTCTGATCCCCATTTGACAGATGAGATGGAAGCTCAGAGAAGTGCAGGCAATTGCCCAAGGTCACACAGCTCAAGAGTGATAGCCAGGATGCCCACTGGGCCCATCCCACTCTCTACCTAGGCCAGGGGTCCTCAAAGACTGGTCCAGGGGAAGCTTGTGAAAATGCATATTCCTAGGTCCCACCTCAACCATCCCTTGATTGTCCCAACCTTGTGGGTAGGTACTATTACCCCACAGCCAAGGAGTAGAGAGCTGGAGTTTGAATTCTGGCGATTTGACCTTAGAGCCTCTTCTATGAGGTGATGCAGGTAAAACACCTGGCCTGTGGCAGGGGCTCAGTAGATGACAGGTGGAGTTCATATAACATTTGCTGAGCACCTACTATGTTCCAGGCACTGTGTAAGCCCAAGGGATACAGGAATGAACCAGATAAAGAGGGTCTGGTCCCCACTCTCACGGAGGTCACAATCAGACAGTGTAACAACTCAATAGGACACTGAGAGAACACTGAAGGTAGTGACAGCTCTATAGAAATGGAACAGGGTAGGATTGTGAGGGGCTATTGTGGAGAGAAAGACGAAGGATGGCTCCCCTGAGGTGACACAGCTGCTGTGCCTGGAGTGATGACAGGAAGGAGCCAGCCAGGGGAAGAAGGGATGAGTGGAAGGGTGGGCGGGGCCAGAGCAGGCATGGATTGGAAGTGTGATGGGAGCCTGGAGGTGACCTGTACTCTGTGTGGTGGTGAGATCCCTGTGGCTGCTGTGTGGAGATGGACTGAGGCAGGGAGGCCAGGTGAGGTGGGCTTTGGTTTCCTGCCTTACTACCTGTGCATGTAAAGACGGCTGGGGAGCCGTTGGTTCCAGCCAATCAGGCCAACCGTAAGGCAGGGACAGCCACAGGACCTGCCTGGTGGAATACAGAGTCCCAGTGTGGTCCAGGCCTGTAGTGGCCAGCCCTGGTGCAGGCATTGATCAGAAAGCCCAAATATGACTAGACCCCAAGCTTGGGTCTGAACAGGGCCGCAGGGTATGGCCCACAGGCTCCAGGAAAGGGCGTCTCGGGGCAGTGGGCACTATAGGCGGCAGAGGGAAGGTAGGGAAGGGCACACGGGATGTGAAAGGAGGTGGATGTGGCCAGTGACCCCTGGATGGTTGCTTTGCATCTTCCTCACCAGGGGGAAGCCCCCTTCCCTGCCCTCCCACTGCACTCACCCAGCGACTCCCCAGGGTTGGGAACAACATGCTGGGCCTCGCCTGATTCCGGTGTGTGCAGGTTCCTCAGAGAGGAACGCGTTTTTCACCAAAGCAAATGCCAGAGGGGACCAACTAAATAAAACAAGCCAAAATACAAAAAAAAACCTCACTGCCATGGAGTCGATTCGGACTCACAGCTACTCTATTTGGGTTTCTGAGGTGGTAAATCTTTTACGGAAGTGGATTGCCCAGTCTGCCTTCCGTAGAGCGGCTGTTGGGTTTGAACCACCAACCTTCTGGTTAGCAGTCAAATGCCTTAGGCAAGATGCCACCAGAGCTCCTTACAGAGGACAAAGGTGTCCTCAAAGTGGATGTTCAGATTGCCTCTCCTGCCCTGGTCATGACCCTGGGCCTTAATACAAACATCAGGTCTTTCAACGACTCCCCATTTCTCTCGGGTGAAGGCCCGCTCCCCACCCAGACCCACGAGGCCCTGAAGCGGTCTCTGGCCACGCGGCTGGCCTCAATACTCACCACGCTGCAAGCCACCGGGTCTTCGCACTCACTGTCTCCTAAGCTTGTGCCTCCTGAGTGGTGATTCTCAGGAGGCTGAGAGGTAATGTGCCACTTCAAGTGACGTCCGGGGTCGTCGCCAGCGCCAGAGGGGCCACACCACTCCCGCGCTCTGGCGCCACATGCCGCGCACTGATGACGTCATGGCGCAGCCCTCAGCTCGGCCCCACTCTCATGCTCCTGCTAGGCTCCCCACCTCTGTTGCCTCCGCGGGGTCCTAAAGCCGCCAACCATGAGTTGCTTGCCATCCACCCCCGGACTCTCAGGACTCTCAGAAGATACCAAGGCCCAGAAAGGGCGTGTCCCAAGGGCATGCCAGTTCAAGGTCGTTATATATATAGCGGGCTCTCCTCCCGCCTCCTCCGTTCTCAGAGACCAAAAGGAGTTCCTATCCCTTTATAGTCCACACAGACCCCTGCCT